TATTTACGTAAACTACTATACAGTAGGAAACTTTGGAGGGAGTAAATTTTAGCAAATTTCTAAATTTTGGTGGTTAAAAAATATGAAGTGCTTGGTGAACTTGTGGTCATATATCACTGAGCATGCACAAATGCTAGATTTTTATCAAAACGCTAAATTTATCAAAAAATTTAAAGTATGCAAAGAATGCAAGATTAAACTTCTAACCTCAGTTACTTGAGCCATTGATAATTCTTGTTTCAATTCAATTGTTTCCTATACATACAAATAAGATTGCATCACACAGTCTGGTAGTACGACAAACCTTCTCTTTGCTACTGATAGTATCTCTTAGTTTATATTCAGCTTCTTTAAGTATAATATAAGAAATAACCTGTACATATAATTAAGACATTACAATCAACTGAACACATTGTTACATTGTACAGGTATACTATAATGTAACTAATAAAAGGAATGATTATATTAACAGACCTCAGTGTGTTGTAGTAAGTCTTGATCCTTTTCTTTTAGTTCCTATACACCACAATATTCATAAAACAATATTCAATCATTCATATTATGTACCTTTTGTCTAACATCTTGTCTCCTCCATAATGTTAAGTTACAAAAAGTCAGTTTCTTTAATCCTTGTACCATCAGTATATAAATATTCTCAATCATCCTCAATACAGTAAACCCAACATCAGAAAAAGGAAAGGAGCAAGTGACACATATTGAAGTGGAGGATCCTATAAACTTGATGACCAGTAATTTACCAGATACTTTTGATAAAATGCCCTTGATATCCTGCAGTACATGCTCCTCAGGCTTCCAGTCAAAAATAAAAGTGACAGTTTCACATTGAAGATGAGAAACAGAGTTGAATCTTTTTTCCAGACAAAGACTAACCGATATTGATTTGTAGAATTCTCTTAATTCAGCTCTATATGTCTCAATGTGTTCCTTTGCTTCAGTAATCTCCATTTCTTCTACTATGCTATGAAGCAGTTCAATGTTAGTCAGTGAACATTCATCTTTAATATGACAAAGGATGCTAGAAACATCAGAACACTGCTCTACTTTTTTACTAAGGGAAGTGCTATAACAAGAGAGAAACTCTCTGATGTCATCCACATCCAATTTTTTCTTTAAAAACTTGCAAACATTATACAACATCCTTGTGTAAGAAGCTTTTATTGAGCTATACTCTACAAATAAATGTTGAGGAACAGGAACTTCAACTAAAAATAGTTTCATTAATAGCAGTTATGTAATATAATATTACTTTGAGGTGATAATGGTTCTGAAGATGAATTACTAGTAACTTCAGTATTAGTACCAGTCCCGCCTACTTGTACAAAAGAAAGGACAGTAAACAAACTACATGTATTTGTACATGCAATAATGAAATGTAGTAAATACCAAAGTGTGTTGTGTTGATTTCATTGGCAGTACTTGTATTATCTATATAAAATATAAAATTATGTATTATCAATTAATCAATTACCTTGTGAAACTACATCATAATCTTTACTAGTCTCAGAAGCCACACCCACTTCAGGAATAGGAAAATAA